GCTATAGGGTGTAAATGGGTTTATAGAATTAAATTCCATGCTGATGGAACCAGTGAAAGATGCAAAGCCAGATTAGTGGCGAAAGGGTATACACAGCAGGAAGGTTTGGATTATCATGAGACCTTTTCACCCGTAGCTAAACTTGTAACAGTTCGAAGTTTATTGGCAATTGCAGCTATTAAAGGGTGGCACTTGTGCCAATTTGATGTTAACAATGCTTTTCTACATGGAGACTTGAATGAGGAAGTGTATATGCAGCTTCCTCCTGGCTATCCAACAATAAATGGGTCAGATAATGGCAGAAAAGTTTGCAAATTACGCAAGAGCTTGTATGGCCTCAAGTAAGCCTCGCGTCAATGGTATTCTAAGCTCTCTAGTTTCATCATAGACCAAGGATTCACACAATCTAAAGCTGATTACAACTTGTTGACAAAATTTGCTTCACATTCTTTCACAGCCATACTCGTGTATGTAGATGATATAATTGTTGCCAGTGATTGCTTGGACACCATCAACAATTTAAAGAACTCTTTTCATGATAAGTTGAGGATCAAAGACCTTGGAAAGCTGAAATATTTCCTTGGCATTGAAGTGGCCAGATTAGACCTTGGTATTCACATCTGTCAAAGAAAATATGCATTAGATATCTTAGTAGATTCTGGGAAAATTGGAGCCACACCAACCAAAGTTCCATTAGATCAAAACCTGAAATTATCCAAAGATCATGGCGAAACTCTTAGTAATCCTTCTGTTTACAGAAGACTAGTTGGGAGATTACTCTATTTAACAATCACTAGACCTGATCTTTCCTATCCAGTGTAGTTGCTAAGTCAATTTATGGACTCTCCTCGGATTCCCCATCTACATACAGCCTATAAGGTTCTTCGATACATTAAGAGATCACCAGGGCAAGGTCTTTTCTATCCTGCCAACACTACCTTACAACTAGAAGGCTTTTGTGATTCAGATTGGGGGGCATGTCTAGATACAAGGCGATCAATTACTGGATATTGTGTTTTCATTGGCAAGTCACTGGTGTCTTGGAAGTCTAAGAAACAAGGGACAATCTCCAGATCCTCTGCTGAAGCAGAGTATAGAGCAATGGCAGATTTATGTTGTGAGTTAACTTGAATACGATATTTGCTCAAAGATTTACAGATTGAGCACCCTTAGTCAGCTGCCTTATATTGTGACATTAAGGCTGCCATCTACATTGCATCAAACCCGGTTTTCCATGAAAGAACCAAGCATATCGAACTTGATTGCCATCTTATTAAGGACAAAATTCAAGAAGGAAGCATAACGACTGAACATGTCAATAGTAGCTTACAAGTGGCAGATTTGTTAACCAAGGCTCTATGCTCTTCACGCCTACAATCTCATTTGCTCAAGATGGGAGTGTTAGATATACACTCTCCATCTTGCGGGGGGGCTATTGAATTAAGAAGTCACCAAGAAGATGAGGAAGCATTGATGCCAACTCAGAATTAGTGGCAACAGACGTGAGTCACATATCCAGTTGGATGCATAGCTGGACTTCAGATTCTAGATGAAAGAAGGCTCTAGAAGATCTACAGAGGAATGTGCTCTGCTGCACGATTGAAGTTTGTTTTTCAAATTCTGTTTTCCTTTTGTACAGCTCACCAACTTGTATAGAATTGGTTAGAATAGATTTCTTTTATTTTCTATAAATAGTCTAGCCTTGTACAGAAAATATGCAACAGAAAAATGAATACAAATTGATATTCATCTCCAAATTATTTTCTTCATTATACATTTTCTTATATTATGAACCCATAAGATTGGAAACTTCTCAATTCTTGAGAGATTTATGTATTTCAGTGTGAACTAATATTGGAGTTCATTCCTTGTATTTTGGTACTCCTATAACGAGTTTAAGTGGTTGCCCGTGTTATAACTGCTTTCTGATATCTCCAAAATCATGCTCTTGGTGTAAGAATTTCGTGATCAATTAAAGAAACCAAAAAAATTACACTAAAATAGTTTTAAACTACTACTTATTATGATGGTATGTATAATGTATAGAGCTTTTGTACAATTGGAGATAAGCATTAAAGACTGTTCTGGTGCCAGGATTTGATACATGGGGGGTTTCCTCCATCCGCATTAAACCATTTTCATAATCGATGAGGTTTGTTTCCTTATGATTTCTTTTGGAATACATCACTATTTTGATATGGTAAATAAAACGATATAGCATTTATTTTGAGAATGATGCTACCTATGTTTTCAGGTGTTTAAGTAACTGATTAGAAGGAATCCTTGGACGTTGGTGGTTGAGGGGCTGGGGCCCTCCACGTCCTTGTGCTGGTCACTCCTCCCTGCACTACTGATTTAAGGGGATCACTATTTGGTTTTGAAATTTGATATGCTTGTGGATAAAATATTGCCAATTGTCTGAAGCATTTCCTTCTTGATATGCCGTTATCAATTCTACTATTAGAATATCCCAAAAGAGTTTGAACTTTTTGGATCAATTCTTGATTGTGACTTTGTTTCTACTTGCTCATTTTACTTGTTGCATTTTCCTTCTGTTTATCTAACCTTTTTCTCTCTTTCTTCTTTATATGAGAAATCATTGCTAGTTACCAGCATTCATAACTTTCACACGTTCCTTGTCCAAGAAACAATCTGGGGCTTGATTTATATTTTATAATTCAGGATACTAGACATGCAGAGATGGAAGCAATCGATATGCTACTTAAGCAGTGGCAGAATGTTGGACTTTCAAGGGAAAAGTTGCTTACATGTGAACCATGTATAATGTGTGCAGCCACTTTATCTATAATTGGTATGGTCAACTACATATATTTTGCATAATAAATCTTACTTTTAATAGTTAATAGAATTTGGGATGACATGTCATGATCTTCGTATAGGCATAAAAAAAGTATACGATGACTGTGCAAATGATAAATTTGGAGGGTGTGGGTCAATTTTATCCTTGCATACGAATAGCTCTGAGAAGCTCAATAGGTTTGATTCTTACCTCTTCTTGTTTATAGAAAAGTGTTTACCTGTAAAAGCTATTTGACATATTATGTTTTTGGACATTCGTTTTAGAATATATAATACTCGTCATTCCTGGTATTTTATGGGCAATATTTGTTGATAAGCTTTAACCTTTGTAGGAGAGCTCAACGTCTTCACTTTTTGTCTTTCAGTTTTAAGTTATGGTTGAATAGCATTATAGCGATTGCAAAACGTTCGTAATATTCATTGTATGTGGCCAAAAACTGGGTAAACAAATATTTTAAGCTTAGCGTGTGGGTGGGAACAGATATGACCTGGGCTTATGATGTGCTTGAATTTGCTTTAAGGTCTAGTGCATATTCTTATTCGTGTCTGTCATAGAATATATGAAGCAACCTTGTCAGTAGGTTCTGAATTTTTGGCCATGGGAAGCTTGTATTCTTGCCACAAATTTATTCATTGCACGACTTCCAGCCTAGATTATCACCACAAATGAAGATCTGGGTTTGAGTCTTACTTTTGCTTGTTTATAAAAATTGAAAATTTATTTGCTATTTGATGAAAAATGAGAATGCTTGCACATAAGGAGTGTATTGAAGAGTTTAAATATATTATATTAAGCTTTTTGATGAGGTGGTTAAGCAAAATTACATATATCACATTTGCTATGGATACTTCATGGTTGATTCTTAACATGAACTTGTCTTTTATTTTCATATTCTGGGCTTTCAAGTAAGTATAGGAAAAAAGGTTGGATAACTGGATTTAATGACATTTGGGTAATTGGCCTGGATCGTACCTTCTCCCAACTTAGCAGCTCCACCCCCGCCATCTCACCTCTTCTTTTCTTGTACTTGGTCTCTCGTTATCGCATAGGAAATTTGCAGGTGCAGGATAAATAATGCTATTTCCAATGGTAATATATAGCTGCTTCTCTCATACTTATTAATGTTGAATCATTTTCAGAGCATTAGATGCAGTAAAAGATCTGCTAAATTAATCATGATTTAAAGTAAACCTTTAGTTCTAATAGAAACTTTCACATTCAGAACTAGTAGAGTTCAGTTCTTTTATTGTGAACAGGGGAACATGGCTTAGTTTGTTGTTGTTTAGTCCTATTAGAACCCTCTTCAATTGACATTATTGATTTCACAAAATATGTGAATTTTAATTTTAGGAGGATTTCTTTCATAAATGGAACATTTTCCAGGGTGGTGTTCTTGCTAATGTCTGAGTTGCTATGCAATTTTTGGATCTCTGCTACCGGTCTCTCCATAAAGAAAAGCAAGATTCTACTTGACTGCAACTGCATTTGTTACTTTATCATAATATTGCATGTATCAATAAGAGCATATGACAGAATTGGCTATTAAATTCAAGAATTTAGCTCATCCTCGGAACTGGTTAGAATAAAAATAAAGGGTCACGATAGGTTTTTCAAATAAAAAAAGTCTTTATTTTCAGGTTTTTTTAATAATTTCCTCAGTAAATATTGGTTTCTCTTAGGGTATGTTTGATTGCGAAAATAGAATTTGGGTGGAAAGAAAATGAATTCCAGGAAATTGAATTACCTAGAAATTGTTTTACAGGGAATTGTAAATTATTGTGTTTGATTGGTATAATTTTCCATATGGAAAACGTTGAAGTAAAAGTATTTTTTGGTGTTCGTTTTACATGAAAATTGTCAATTTCAGGGATATCCTCTTTTACAATTATTCCTAAAATTTGTTTCCATCGCCAACAATTAAAAAAACAAAAGACAAAAAGCAAAAAAAATAAAAAAATAAAAAAAAAGGTGGAAAACCAAAAACCACCTATCCCCTAGGAAAATAAAAGGTGGAAAATCACGCTTTAAAGTGTTGTACCTAGAAATTCACGGAAAATCAATTCCCTGAAAAATTTTGTCAATCAAATAGACAAAATGTGGAAGTTGGAATTCAAATTTCAAGTTCCATAAAAAATTTCGTGCAATCAAACGGGTCTTAATGGTTTGGAGATATTTTCTATATAGTTTCTTTCTTTTTTTAGTTATAATTTTCAGCTTTTTGACAGTGGAGTTTCGAAAAAGCTTTTCAAGTGTACTGGAGGAGTAATGGCATCAGAAGCAGTCAATCTTTTAAGAAGCTTTTATGAGCAAGGAAATCCCAATGGTATGAATATTCATTATAGTTTGTGATCCCTGCAATTTAACATATTCTATAGTTACAGATTTCTGCTTCAATTGGGAAGAAAATCGTACCACAATACGGAAAATTCGATGCAAGAGTCCCCTTAGAGAATCACTTAGGTGTTCCTTTAGTAATCATTTGCGAAGGCATTCCTTTAGATGGATGATCTAGAACCTTATTTTTTACTGGAGAGATTATTTATTCTTCTAGAGAACAATTACATGCAACTTGAGTTCTATATTGACTCTTATATCTCCAATCTTCTTACATATCACCTCGATCAGCTTCTGTTTCAATGTTGGGATACTTGAGGGTGAATAAAATTGAATCCAAGCAACCCATCTTATTTATCAATCAATAACATGTCATCTGAAATGTATGTATCCTGTTCAATTTGCCTTCTTAATATTAACGAACACGTTTAAATAGCCAAGAACCATATTAAACGCCCAACATCATCAATAATGTTGGTGCAATTTTTATAAATTGTTGCCGATATGTGGAGTTCTGTCTTCCTCCAGTCCAATGAAGTTACGGATCTTAACATTATAGTATCATTCTAGGTGGTTTTTCCTTAATTTAGGATGTCTGTTCAAACTAAAATCTTCCTTTGTTGCATACAAATATCAAAGAAAATTCATATCCACTCACATGCTGTATCTGTATCTGGTGTTAGCTACAGTGTCCTTGTACATTTCTGCAGTTTTACGTTTTTCGAGGATAGTAACTCCAACAGTCACATGTTTGTATACTGTCAATTCTAATTTTTTATACAATAAAATTTATTCTTCATTCTATTTATTCATTTTGCTAGCTGGTACAGTGATTACTGTCTTTAAATTAATTCAGCCCCAAAGCCTTACAGGAAGCCAATGCAAGGGGTCTAAATGGTTCAGTAACAGTTGCAGAGGTACACACTGGCAAATATTTATTGTAACATAGAGCAATATTATTTTGGCTTTTTTGATCTGCTATCTGTCTCAAAGAGAGAAATTCATATTGTCTATTCTTTATACACATAACTATGCACATCAGCACCTGGGGGACAAGTGAAACAGTGGATTTTCGTTTTTACTAACACTTTGATGTGAACACTGGGAGTCTGTAGTGTCTTATATGATTGCATTTGATATCTGATCGTAATATGCTTGGTTAATGCTTAATCTAATTCCATAAATTGTCTGCGTTAAGAAATAAAAAGTGAAATGCTATATTATATCTGGTCTGTAGAAATTAGTTAACTGTATTTCCCATAATGCCATGAGCTTTTGGCTTTAGATATTCAAGTTTTCAAGGTTGGAACGAAGAAATTATTTTGTGATACTTGAGATCTATTAGGATACAAATCCAGGAAGATTAATTGATTTACAGATGAATGGAAAAAGATTGGCTGGTCTGTCGTAAATCTAATGTGCTGGTAGGAAGAAATTAAAATCCTTATCTGGAAATTGATTAATGCTCAATCGCAGACCCATTGTTTAAATTCAAATAGATAAATTTTAATACCCAATTTTTTAATTATTTAGACGCACTTATTTTATTGTGCTATATTTTGCACCATTAATAACGTCGTGGCATGACTTATAGAAAGCATTTAATAAAAATATTGTTATTGTTCGACCAAAAGGATGATTAGATACCTTCCTCTCTAAGAGCAATCTCCAAATTTTAGCAAGACAATATGAGTTAGGAATAATAAAAAGATTGTTATTGTTCGACCAAAAGGATGATTAGATACCTTCCTCTCTAAGAGCAATCTCTAAATTTTAGCCAAACAGTTTGAGTTAGGAATATGTTAGTGTATCTCATATGGCTTGTGATCTTTGCGAGATTTCTATGCCTTCAAACTTCCCATTTCCCCATCTGGACACTGATGCAAATAAAATTTTGTGTCAGAATCCACCTAATTGATTCACACCTACGTCTGCTTCTTGTTCTCAAGTCCTTAAATTTGACATGCTTATCTGATCAAAGCTTCTGATGTTCAGGTTCTGTAATGGAGAATGCAACCTGTTTACACAGCTATTGATTTGGCACTAAATGATCAAATTACAGTGCCCTTGGCAGTCAAAATTTGTCTTAGAAAAGATTACTTGTTTTAGTTTGAGAAACTGAATGAGAATCTTGGATCAGATGCTATGGAGGCAGCATACATTTGAATTCTTTTGATTTCTCAGATTGTAATATACTGTTTATACTTCACTTCTCTTGAATCATCCACACAAAAATTGATGGAGCATTTGAGTAACGTGAATCGACTGCAACATCTACATACTTTCAAGAAAAGTAACTTTTAAGCATAATTACATGTGTCGTATTTTATACTTTTCTCTTTTATGTTGTATTGTGAGTTGTACACACGTTTCAAAAATTTTCCATTGAACTCCTTTCTAATCTCACATGAGGTGGGTCCAAGTTGATCACGAGTTCGGACACCAACAGTTTTCAAGTTTGATTGCTAAAAATGTTGAATTTGTCAATCATTCTCCTTCTGAAGTGCCTAGCAGTTGGTTACAATGCTATTTCTGCATATGCACTAGGAATATGGTCAATGTATTCTGGCTTCCATTTCAATAATGAGTTCAATGCTATCATTTCCATCTATTCGATAGTGAGTCTAAATATTACCATTCATATTTCCCCCCAAAAGATGAACATATTGCAGGGCCCCTCTTTTTGAAGTTCAAACTGATGACTGGGAATGCTTCTGTGGTGTTCTTTGGTGCCCAGCTTATGCTGATTGTGCTGTACCCCAGGTATTCTACTCATAAGTTTCCTTTTAACAAATTTTCTAAATCATTTTCTCACAAAATATCCAGCTACTGCATATATATGAAGAAATAGATATGCCTAGCTACTTTTACAAAAAAGGGGATTCCTGAAAAATGGGATAAGGAATGACAAATATGAAAATAAGAGATTCTGTTCGTAAAATTTGTGAAAAATGTCGCCTAATCCTTAGGCGGGGGCACATTATAGTAATTTGTTCCAACCTGAGACATAAACTAAGACAAGGATAATCAGACTCACTAAAGAACTTGATTTAACGAGAGCTATGTAAAAAGTAGGTCCGATTATGCCTATTCTTAATCCTAAATGGAATGGAACGACGTAGGGATCCATATGTAAACATAGTATCTATTTAGATATTAATCATGAATCAGTTGCTGTATCTGATCCATGTTGTGTGAGTTTCAGTTTAGTTTGCAAATCTAAGAAGAATGACATGTTCATGTAGGAGTTTCTCTATCTTCTGAAACTCCAAATAATATTTTGAGATGTCTAACTAATTTGGGTTTTCAGACATATTTTCAGCTAATTGTTTCATGAGAGGGTACTATCTGACTTCTCCTAATGTTTATTATATTTATTCGAGGAAATTGGATAGTCGAAAGAGAATTGGTTCACAAGAACTCTGACTTCAGTGAGAAAAATAGCAAACTATGGATACTCTATCTATTCGAGGGGGGAAATGAGAGATATTTTGTTTCACCACAGAAAATTATTTGATTCTTTTCTTTTAAAGAATTTCCATGATACATCAGAACGAACCTATTTCCTCCGCTGGGTGGAAGAGACGGAAATCCGCTGGCGATGTCTGGTTTGGCAGAGCAGCTGCTGCTATTTAGACCCTCCTTTGAAATTGATAAAATCACCACTACAGAAGGTTGACGGTGTTTATTAAGCTAGCGATTTGTGAGGCTCTATAATCTTGGCTTGTGTCCCATTTGGACCCATGCCAATATCTCAGACTTTTGGCAACTTTTAGTTCATATAACTCCTTCAGTTTCTATATTAGTTTTGGTGAAAATGTAGAGCACTTTTGGTCAAATTTCTGAGGAAGTTTGGTTGGTAGTAAATTAGAAATTACTACTGAATGATTATGGGGGTTAAAGCTGAACTCGAGTGACATTTTCTTGATCATCTGGTATCACATATTTCTTGCTATTTTTGTTTAGAGTGATGCCAGACGGACAGGTCACATCCGAGTTCTCTTCTTTCTTCTACTATTTTCTGAGACCGATGGCATCGCCTGTGGAACAGTCTTCGGCATTGAAATCAATTGTTTCATCTTTAAAAATTTCCCACCATTTGACATCCTTCCTGTCCGTATTAACTTCCAAACTGGTAATTCCATGGCTTTGATACCTAAATTTGGAGAAAAAGTGATGTCAATAAGGATTTTATGGAATTTCTCCACCATTGTGAAGAAAAATCTAGTCTTCAGATCAGATTTAGACTCAAGCAGTACAATAGTGCACCATTTTCACTTCTAGCTCTAGATGGTACCACAGGTCCACAGCATGCAGAGAATTAAGTTTGTAAACCCGTGCGATCGGTTTTTGAAGAACATATTTAGGAAATCTTGTTACAACATGAATAAATTAGAAAAAGAAAATGCATTTTTCCTACTTATAACACAATAAAATAGGTCTCTTTTCAAATAAAATGTAAGAACCTCTATGTGTTGTGCAATGCACGATAACATAAAAATCAAAATGAAAAATTAACATTATTACCTTCTTGAAGTATTAGAAAATAAAAATAGGAAAAGGCCTCAAAATCTGCAAAACGCGGATGGTTTTGAATATATTTGAAAGTTTGGGGAGTAATAGTGTGAATTTCTGAAAATTGAACCAACCAGATTATTCGGGGTTATTGTCACCGACCGTCCACGGATTTCACAACCCGGCAATGACCCAAGGAAATCATTGAAAAAGGTCAGTTGACCCACTCTTATTTTCACTTTGACCTTTGACTGATTTTTAAAAAAAAAATGAAAATATATTTTAAAGACACTTTTTTCAAAAATACCCCTCCATCCTTCCTCACTCTCTCTTGACAATTAGAGGTTGGAGTTAGAAATTTTCACTTTCATTAACAGTCGGCCGTCTAGACATCTTCCTCATCGTCGAACTTCCGGTTACCGGCTATCTCCTATTGTAAATGTTAGTTTTTGTAGAGTTATAATTAGATTATTGGGTTTTGTTGAGTTTTAATTAGATTATTGGTCGGAATATTATTTTTGTTGTGTGAAGGGCATGATTTAAGTTAGATTTGGGTATGGATGAAGTGTATTGGCCTATTGTGGTTGTGTGTGGAGCTCCAACTCCTCAAAAATGATGGATTCTAGCGAGATGGAGGGGTAGGTTGTTGATAGCCGGCCTCCCATCGAGACGGAGGCGTAGGTTGTTGACAGCCGGCCTCTAATAGGCGGCCGGCTGTTAACTTCCGGTTCTAACCGACCCCCATTTTTTTTATTTCAGAAATTAATTTAAATCATTAAATGTTTAGAATTTTGAATTAAATAATTTTTTTCTTTATCAAAATTAAAGAAATTTGTTATTCTTAAATTAATTTTTTAATTCTAATTTTAACTCTTTATTTGAAATTTAATTTTCTTTTTTTATTTTTAAATTTTAAATTAATTTTTATTTTATTTTAATTTTAATTTCAATTTCAATTTTCATTTTAATTATAATTTTAATTTAATGAAAGTTGTTATTTGAAAATTAATTTTTAATTCAATTTTAAATCTTATTTTTAATTTAATTCTAATTTTTTATTTTATATAAAATTTAAATTTTCATTTTAGTTATAATTTTAATTTAAAGAAATTTGTTATTTTAAAAATAGTTTTCAAATTACTTTTTTAATTCTAATTTTAACTTTTTACTTTAAATTTAAACGTAATTGTAATTTTATTTTAAATTATAATTATAATT